ATTGTAATGCATTACTTTTAAAAGTAACTTTCCCCAACACTGATCGAGAGTACCATGACGCATGAGCATTGCTCTCCTCTGCATGTAAACAAGGATCAGTGCATGCGTGTTCTACGTCAGCAGCATCACATGCATGCGGTTTTTACGTGCAGAGGTACTCTCGATAATGGTGGAAGACGTGATTTGGAGGAGAAGAATTACTGCATAAAGTCGTTATTTTAGTTTTCTTTAAGTGTTCTCGTAGCTTCGTAAAATTACGGTTGAACCACTGATGTAACATGGACTGTTTAACCGATGTTCTTACTACCTTTCTGGGTCTGGGAACATTTTAGATACTTTGTTCTCTATGCTGGATCAGAAAGCTCTCAGATTTCATCAAAAATATCTTCATTTGTGCAAAATAAAACTGTCATGTCTAAGACCATAATTATCTACAAAACACATTGCTGCCTTGCAATCACTATAAAAAGACAACCATACTAAAAATTAGTAGAGCCCCTAGGGTGTTCTTTTTCACTTTGAGAACAGCCATATGAAAGAATAAGCAGAAAGCAATGAACTGTAGAAACTAGTGACTCCATCTAAAACAGACTAGCTTCAAACCAGAGCCCTAGAAAAGTAGGGATAAAGATGGTGAAAGAGTGAGACTCTTGAGGAAAGCCAGTCATCAGCATGCTAATGGTGGAGAGAGATACAGATGTAGAGAGGGAATGACGTGATTAGCAGGGCTGAAGAGAGAGGCTGTCAGCTCGTGGTGTCAGTAGGAGAGAGGCGGAGGTAATGACACTAGTCAGGTGGAAAAACAAAAGGCAAGAGCAGCTTGGCCCATCCTTGCCAGACACACCGAAAACACACTCCTGGCTCAAGATCATTTTACCAATCATATTCACCCTGTTTACCCAGAACACGCAGCGCAAGTGTCGTTTGGATGTGCCACTGTCATGTCCCACTGCCTCAGCCCAGTTAAAACACTTTCTGACAGGAAGTCGCTGAAGTAGAAGAGAGATTAATAGCTCAGAGTGTAGTCCACTGTCAGAGAAGCTCCTGCAGACATTTATATCATTTGATAGAAATGTATTTCCTTAAACACCCTTATAATTATATATAGATGCGGCAACACCTAAATGTTTGTTTTCATTTGCTAATCTTGGCTTGGTGGAATGAAGCAATATTTATGCTAAATAGAGCGTACATTAACATTAATGTTGGAATGATGCATTGTTGTTACATGACCTATATAAGCATTTGTCCAAACCAGTTAGCCACAAGATGAATAATTCAGCTTCATTCCCAGTGACCTTTCACAGTGCACACTTAAACAGTTGCCTTTAACTGCAAACCCTTGCTTATTTATTTTTGTTTACATTCATTTAATTATTTGAAAATGATATATGATGTTTCAGATGATGCACTGTTTGATAACACGCAGACTGCCAATTTTGCTCACCAAGGCTGCATTAGTTTGTTCAAAAATACAGTAAAAAAACAGTAATATTATGAAATTGTATTGCAATTTAAAATAGCTGTTTTCTGTTTGAATATATTTTAAATGTATTTATTCCTATGATGGCACAGCTGAAATTTCAGCATCATTACTTCAGTCTTAAGTGTCACATGATCCTTCAGAAATCATTCCGATTTGCTGCTCAAAAACAAACAAAAAAAACTTATGTTGAAAACTTTTATGCTTCTTAATATTTTTATGGAAACTGTGATGCTTTTTTCTAAGAATTTTTCAAGATTCTTAAAAAGCAGTGTATGTTTGAAAGATTTTTTACATTTATTATTTTTTAATAATAAAAACATTTATTATTTATTTTTACAATTTAAGTCTTTTCTGTCATTTGATCAATTTAAATTTAATGCTTTTCTTGCTGAATAAAAGGATTCATTTCAGTGGATAAATAAAAAAAATAAATGTTGCTCTTCTTTGTTTTCACCCCAATCAAATGTTTTTGATTATATGCACCCTCCCAAAACTGAATGTCACCTGAGAAGAGGCCAGTAGCCTTACAGTAAAGAAGATGAGGTTTCCATTGCTTTAATGGAAGTTTGTGTTCTTTTATTTCACCCTCCTTTTGATCATTGACATACTTCTTGATGTATTTCCTTCCTTGCTGCCTTGGAATACCTCCTCTTTATTTAAACCTCTCACTGGTAGTGACATATTGTGAGTAAAAACGGGTTTCCTGTGGCCAGAGTACAGTCTGACTGTCTCACTCTGATAATAGTTCTATATATATATATATCTATATATATGTTGCATGTATCAGTCTAGCTGCTGCATCCCTCCTACACCTCATCTCTCCACTGTCCTCAGCCCAAAACAATACAGCAGAATTTACTGGCCTGAAAATGACCCAGCCCTGACCCCTACAAACCAGTCTTTAACAGGAGAGAACAATAAGGCCATGACCAATAATGCAAATCCTCCCAAAGATTTACTAACAGCACAATTCTGAAATCAGAGATCCGTTTCAAAGGTTGTTTGACCCTCCCGAAACTCAACGAAAGCCGAAATGAATGTCATGACAATCTAAAAAGTCAAACAAGCCGATTGATTTTGCTACTATTAGTCATGGACTTCACGAGTGCCAAGGGGGGGAGGTTAAGTCCACTCGAATCCGTCCCCTCGCTGTCAGAGGCAATTTCGCATGCTGCTGTATTTTCAGAGAGCGGAAAGAGTTCTGTGGGAAGTTCTTCAAATTCTTAGGCTTAACGAGCATCGTCTCCAAAACACAATCAAAACAATCTGGTCTCCCTCTTGCCTACAGCCTCCCCTTTGTCTTCACCACCCGGCCCCTGCCCAGCCTCTCTACATGACACAACAACCATCGGCAGAATTGAAATGTTCTGCATTTCAATTCCTTTCAGTAGTTGGGCCCTTTTTTACTCACTGCTCTCACTGATAGGTGCATCTCTCAGCGTTAGGCTCACGGTGGTGTTGACCTTTGCTGTACACCATGTTGGCCACTAGATGCCACTGTAGTTCTACAAATGAGATCGGGACAGAATGGGAACACTGAGGTCCTCGTAAACCTATTTAGTAAGATTGCTATCAGCCAATGTGCACTGTAGGGTCTTCTCACTTGTCACCTAGGTTTCTTTATGTAGGTCTCCCAAGGAGTCAGGTCGTTGTTCACTTTATATTGGTTTAGAGATGGAGGTGTGTTTGTTTCAAGTATTTTAAGCATGCAAGGCTTCACTGTATCTAATATCACTCCTTATTGTAAGTCTAAGCTCAAAGTAGGCTATAATGTGCACAAGTAAAGCTTGCAGATATGTTCCTGTCCATTAGTACTTTAACATACGATGCAGCCTGCTTTGAATTATGGGAAGTAGTAGGGTGAGGACAGATGTTAGGGGTGCTGAGAGCATTCTTGCTAAATCAGGTTGCCCTGTTAAAGAGGCTTCAGTAATTAGGCTCTCTGTGTAGTCATGTTCAGTCACTCACATCATCATGTCTTGTGTCTCTTCCACCCTCCATGTCTCACTGACTAACATAACCACATACTATGTGCTCCGATGAATGTCAACCCTCAAACTCTGAAGTGACAGATTTCAGCATGAAATTAAGTAGAAGCCCCGCTGCTGCATGTTTTTGCATTGCCTTAATCTGTTTCAGCCCCGTGAACAGTCGACCGGGCTGCCGTTTCAAGAGATACGAATGCGGTCGCCTCCCTCTGCATGCCTGTTCTCCTTAATTTCAGCTGTTCTGCATGGTTCTATACGAATAACAGTCCCTGAGGTTATGGCTCTAAAGGCCAAGTCATTTACCGTATTATCTTTCCAGCATACAACTGAAATTGGCCTCTTAATTCGGGCTCGTAACCTCAGATGGAAGTCAAAAGCAGGCTTTTCCCTGTGGATTGTTTGCTCTTTTGAGGGTGCCAGACTTGATTATGGTCTGTTAGCGAGGTGGCACCGGGAGAATGCATACCAAGGACTGTTTTTAGTACGATTCACAGCAATCAAATGCTGCTATAGTCTCTCACCACAGCTCCTTTGAGAACCGGAAAAAAAAAAAACACTCCACGTACTGTATGTCTGAATCAAATGCGCAATGCATGTGAAAGCATCTTCTAATCAGGGACCGAAGAAATAGCCTATTGGCATGTTACCACACAAATCTCCCAACCAATCCCTGATTGAGCAGAGTTTGACTAACAGAATAGAGCACCTATGTTTAGAGCCTGTAGCACGTTGTGATGCCAATAACCTGCTGCTGCATGATGGGATACAGGTACGTGATCCTCTCTTTTAGATACAGAAGATGTTATCCAAAGAGGTTTTGCTGCTGAACACATTCACCCATTCCTCTCTGCCTGAATGTCCCTTGCCCCAACCCCTGATCATATTGTCATATCTGACCTTTTGACCTTTTATGACATGATCAGCCTTAGGGCACGGCTTGACCCCAATGAGACGACTGCTTCCCGCCTAAACAAGCCGTCTGTTAGATGTTTTCAAAGTCCTATTTGGTACGAATCTTCAAATTCGGATCGAACTTCACTTCTGCAGTGTGAACGGAATCAAAAGCGAATCAGAAGCGTTTTTCTAGCGGGAGCGCAGCGGTCCATCTGCGGGTCAAGTCTGTCAGAGCTTGCTGCTAAGGCATTGCACTTTTTGTTCCTGTTTGAAAAAGTTACCTTCAGACTTCCCTGGTTGAAAAGCTCTTTTGATCCTTGCCATTAACCTGCTGCTTTCCTCTCCTCTCATCCAACACATGACTGTAGCCAAGATGTCCGTCTACAAGCGAATGAAACTGGCATGTTGTTTTGATTGCGGGCACTCTGAGCGCGACTGCTCGTGCATGTCAGGCAGTGTACATAGTAACATGGACAGTCTTCAGAGGGCCTTCCCACTTTCTTCTGTCTCTGTTCATGATTGCTCAACCAGTTTACGTGCCTGTAAGTTCGATCGCCAAACCACATGCCGTTCGGTGTCCGTGACCTGTGAGTGTGCGTGTCCGTAATTGCGTGCGTGTCTGTGCCGTGTTTTATGTGCCATGTCTGTTTCGTTCCTCCATTATTTCCGTATATGTGGCTTATTGGTTGGTACACTAGTACATATTCTTTTTCGTTTGGTGAATTGGTGGTAGTTGAAGTGACGTGGCTTCTCTGTGTTAGTGCTGCAGTAGGTGCAGTGTTGGCGCATGCTGTGTCAGTGGAGCACTTGTGCGGTGCTTGTGACATTTTTGCAGTCACTGTTTTTGGTGTTTACACTTTTACGTGGCAGGTGTACATGTATCTGTTATATAACTATATGATGTGCTTTTAATCGAAACATCTCTGGGCTAATTGACACTAATGATGTTTTGACAATGTTTTCATGTTCGTGTGACTTTTGAAGACCTACAACAGATTAAGGAAGATGCAATCAAATGGCTAACTGTTTTTGCCCCCCAGGTTCAAACATCGGATACCAACAATCCTTTGGTCTTTGAATTTCGAATGTGCTTCAAAGCCATCTCGCCCAGTTTAAAATGTTAGAAAAACTGCTCACTGCTTAAGATCCCTTTTGACTTTATTTGTTCACTGAGCAAAATTTGAAAGGATATCAGTAAATGAAAAAACAGTCAAACTATATATGTCCATTATTTACTAAAATCATGTTTAATTTGCATGCCAAATGCTAGATTGTGATTGAAAGGGATCTTTAGTGAGATTCTTCTGTTCATAGAGTATATAATGGCAATGTCTTTTCTGCTATTCCTGGACAATCATGTTTTACAACCGCAAGCCATTAATGCCTCCACCATTTCCACTGGCTGAAATAAAACCTCTTCCTTCAGCGAAGTCCACATTTAAGTGCAATTGAAAAAACACGTCAAACTCTCCCCCTTTCCACAGGATCTGATCCTCGATGATTTTCTCTTAGCCAGCAATCAGGGGAGAAAAGTCAATGTGCTTTATTTAATGCCTTGTATACCACAGTGGGACTGTCAGACTCAATGGGAAAGTTAAAAAGAAATCTCCTGACAGGAACTCAATTGAGATGGCGGTGACTCAGGCTATTGGATGAGGTCAGATGACTGAAGCAGTTAGCTGTGTAAAGGACAGCGTCGAACAGGGGTCTTCTCATTAAGCCGTAGCAGATGTGAAATACTAAAGCGTCTGTCAATTAGGAATGGCAGTGGTGCGACCTACTATAAAAGCAGGGGTCAGTTCAGGCGATCGCATTTCCTCTACAACTGCCTTCCGACTGTTCACCACATCAGCTTAGATTAGCATCAAACCCTATGAGGAGGTTGACTTTGAGTCTTGTGTTTTGGTTTGTGGTGATATCCCTGGATACCAGTTACTGGTCATTACGTAGTTACTGATCTCTTCACGTAGCGTCATCCTTTGTTGGTTTTCGCTGCTGCCAGTTTTTTCTGAATTTAGTGCATTTTCGCCAAGGCTGACAGCTAATGCCAGCTGCGGCTTTGTTTTGACTCCCTCCCATCGGTTTCGTCTCAGATCTAGCATTACATCTTTATGATGAAGAATTCACAGAGTTCGTCCATCTGACTTTGATTTCGCCCAGTCAATAATGATTTTCTGATGAAATTCTCAGAGCCCGTCATCACATTATTGACCCTGTTCTGAATATTTGCTAACCAGTATTGGTCTCTAGTTCGGCATGCGTCTGCCCAACTAAGTACCCTCTGCTCCTGTTTAAATAAAAGCAGCAATTGCTACGTTTCTATGCGCAATCACTTGAAGTTCACTTTTTTATTAAATAAAATTATTTTAATTGATTAATTACAATATATATTTGATTTATATGTATTTACTACATTCACTTTATATTTTATTTAGTGTTAATGCATTTCAATTATATATATATTTAAATTATGCATTATATATATATATATATATATATATATATATATATAATATATAATATATATATATATATATATATATATAAACAAAATATTTTAGTTTGTCTTGTATATTTTTTTCATTCGATCAGATAAGATTTTAAGCTGTCATATGGTCAAGTTACAACGTGCCCCTCGGATGTTACAATGTGTTCCACCTATGGGGCATGTTGTCACATTTCACTTCCATTTTTTGAGGGTAAATAAAGAAAAACGTATACACTGTAATTATGAAACAAAGCGATGT